TCCCACTCTTTTGTTGACTATGAGGGCTACTCCATTTCTTCTATGGGATTCTTGCCCACGATAGTAGATATGGTAATCATTTGAATTGAATTTGCCTATTCCCGTCCATTTTAGTTCACTGACACCCAGGATGTCAATGTTTATTCTTGCCATCTCCTGTGTGACCATATCCAGCTTACCAAGGTTCATACATCGTAGATTCCAGGTTCCTATGCAGTATTTTTCTTTGCAGCATTAGACTTTCCTTTCTCTTCCAGGCAGCTGAGCATCCTTTCAACTGTTGCCCAACCACTTCATTGGCTCTGGAGCTACTTGTACTTGTCCTCCGCTCTTCCTCAGTAGCATGTTGGAATCCTTCTGACCTGAGGGGCTCATCTTCCAGTGTCATATCTTTTAGCCTTTTGTTTCTGTTCATGGAGTTTTCTTAGCAAAGATACTGGAGTGGCATTGCCAGTTCCTCCTCCAGGTGGATTGTGTTTAGTCAGAACTCTCCACTATGACCTGTCTGCCTTGGGTGTCCCTGCATGGCATAGCCCATAGCTTCTCTGAGTTACTCAAGCCCCTTTGCCATGACAAGGCAGCAGTCCGTGAAGGGGACAACTAGCGTAGGCCCATTTAAATCGGTGGAACTTAATAAAGAGTTGGCTCATCTAAACCCCATTGTTTCAATAGGCCTACTCTAGTTTGACTTACTATGCAGGATTTCAGGCATTAACTCTCCACTGGGCAAAATATTAGGCAAAATCTGAATGCTCCTGAAAGCACCAGTCTCAGTACAGAGACTTGGAACTCATCTTTTACGTGAATAAGCAAAGGTTCAGCTTACAGGAATGTTTCCAAAGACAACCAGTAAGGTTGTTGACATTGGGGAAGCTGTTTTAAAGAGCTTAACTCCTAGAATCTGTCAGCTGATGGCCATGCTAGCTGCAGGATTCTGCATGGTGTTGTCCCCTAGAGTAACATTTTCAAGCTCTACTTAATTTGATGCTTATTTGTAGCCCTTTTGGAGACTGTAAAGACAGTCTTCATCGGGCAAAGATGCAAATATTGCCTTCTCATGGCTCAGTGAAGGGGTGGAGAGGGGGCAATCCTGGAATTCTAGAATAATTGAGTTGGAAGTTAATCCTTTGCTCAGTGTAGGAATCCAAATCAAAACAGATCTAACAGATGTTAGATGGTTGTCCTATTTTCTCTTGAATGCCTCCAGCATCCGAAAGATGTTACTGGTCAGCACCTCTCCTCCCTGGCTAACAAAGCTTTTGGTGAGAGATAATGGGAACTGTAGTCCTGCAACACATGAAAAGCCACACATTCCTCATTGTGACTACAGAATACACCATCTGCTCCATCCAGCAAACCTCACTGAGACAAACCCAGGCTGCATAGCAGCACCGTTGAGCAGATTGTGCCCATTAGGTTGGACACGTAACGCCTGATTGTAATTTGTCTGGTTTCCTCTTTCCTTTGGCATCTATTACCCAATGCCCAGTTTCTAGGATGTTATTTATGAAATCAAATGACTAAGTTGCCAAAAGAACAATACATAAATTGTGACTGCACCAGTCGTTACTGTGCTAATACTGGAACAGAGGAAGTTGTCTTATAACAATTCAGACTACTAATTCATCTAACTCCAAGGTGAGAAAATGTGGCCCTCCAGATGTTTTTATGACTGCAATTCCCATTTGCTCTTACCATTATCCGTCACTTGGGGCCAAT